TAATAGTACGCACTCTGGACTATAGAATCAAGACGTACATACTAATCTGTGAATAATAGACAAAGAACTAAAAAAGTAGAAGAGTGTTGAGGGCAGATAAGCTAGGTCCTCAAACACTAGCTAAAACAATCACATGACTACAACTACTAGTCACACCAGAACTGTGATATTACCCCCCCTTTCCGAAAAGCGATGGTCCACCGAGCTTCCAACACAGCATCTAATCCATATCATCGGAATCCTCAGCGTTAGCTGACTGCCAACTATCCTATAGCTTCCTCATATCCTTAGCTTTAGGCCTCTTGTGGTTCTTAACAGCAAGGCCAAAAGCATAGTTATCTACCCAATGATTGGCTAAGCCGCACCTAACATAACAGTTGTTAGCTCTCTAGGTAATCCGGACGGCTGGATCCACTTCGCGGGCTAAGGGCTTATTGTAGTCTAAGACTTTAATCTGAGGACTCTCGGGGCCGTTGTGATTTAGGATCTCACAAGGAGAAAAGGAGGAAGGGAGGTCAATAGCACTAATATCGATAGAGTTGATAGCAGTAACGTCTATAGGATCTCCGCGCAGTGATTGATTGAATTAGCGAGGCTAGACGATATGAGGTGAACTAGTGTTAAGGGTAAAAGTAACGGATCGTTCTCCGCTAGCTAGTTGTTGCACTACTCTGATAAAGCCAGAATAAGTACGAGGGAGATTAAGCTATTGAGAAAGCCTAGAACGAAGCTTATTACTCAACCCTTTGCGGAAAGAAGAGATTTTAGCGGCCTTAGGCTAGTCTTATCCACCTGCTTCATAAAGCAAGCGTTTAAACTTAGCCATATAGGCTAGGAGAGAGTCGCTTCTTTGGCTAACGGCCAAGAGCTTGTCTTCTGCTTCTTGAATCTTATTCGAGTTGTCGTAGACACAAGCTAGCTACTCTAGGATCGTGTTGTAGTCCCATTCTTGTGTATCTTTAGCATGACCTAGCTATAGCAGCACTATTACTTGTATGTAGCTCTTAAGGTTGAGGTAAACGTAGTAAAAGCGGGCAATAGGGTCTCCAATTGCGTTACCGTCTACGTATAGCTTAGTCCTAATACTTAGCAACCACGTATCGAACTTGTGTGTATGTCTATTAAACTTCTCGGGGTCGGGGAGAGCGGGTTTAGGTCGAGAGGAGAGTTGGCGGCTCCTTAAGGAGGCAATTTTAGCTTGCAGAGCACCTAGCGTTGCTTCTAGAGTCTAGGCATCCATTATAAAGGGGAATCGGAAGGTAGTTGTATCGTATGGTTCATATGAATCGTATGCAAAAGAAGTCCAAAGCGTGAGACCGATGTTCGTAATCGAGTCTATCGAATGCAAATGCATATGCTTATATCGTATGCGTATGCGTATGAGGTCTAAAGCATAAAGCTAATGTAAATATCTTGTCTATTAAAAGCGTATATACTTAGTCTGCAGACGTAAGAGTCTATTATAATGTAATAGTACGCACTCTAGACTATAGAATCAAGACGTATATACTAATCTGTGAATAATAGATAAAGAACTAAAAGAGTGGAAGAGTGTTAAGGGCAGATAAGCTAGGTCCTCAAACACTAGCTGAAATAA